TCTTATATATATGTATATATATATATATATATATATATATCGTTAAAAAAAAAAGTAGGACAAGGCATGTAGACAATAGAGCACAGTATTTATTTTCGAACGAAATTTTCTGCCAGTCCTCTCCCTCTGGAATTTTGTTTCAACGATTGATATATAACTAGAAAAACACACGTAGATATACAATTTCCTAAGTTATAAGTATTACGGCTTCTCTGTACTAAAGTATACAATGAAAATTATTTATTAACAATTATTTCTTGATAAATGGTATGAGGAAATTTAGTCCAGATCTTCACTTGTTGAATATACAAAATTTAAGAACATCCCTTGTTTACCGAGTTCTTGATAATACCATGGAGATATAAGGGTATGAGTTTGCGTCAGGAAATTATCATATGAGTGATGTTTTTCCCTACCTGACGTGTAATCGTACTAAAGCTCGGTGGTCTGGTGGTTAAGACATCAGGCTAGATACCTGGGGGTCGTGGGTTCGATTCCCACCCGAATCACTTGCGAATTTTTTTCGCTAGTATTTGGGACGTACTGAGTATTCAGTACGATTACACGTCAGGTACGGCAAAGCATCACTCATACCATGGAGATGTATACCAACTTTTATGCTATTAGTGTAAAATTTAAATTAAGATCAAATACGTTACCATTGAACGGGGCGCGATTTTTTTCCGTACGAAACATTTACATGAAACTCCATGTCTCGGCTGAATCGACTCGAAAATCTCATTGCAGAATTCAGGAGGTCAAAAGGTCATTAACAGATAAACGTCTACAGAACAACTTCTGAGAGAACGTCGCTGTCTAATTTTTAAAAATACATTATGTTACCATGTTAATACCAATGGGTCGTTTAAAATGACATTATATAATATTTGATTAAGCTGCACGAGTAATGAAAAGTGTTATTTTAACTTGAGTTACATACTATGACAATTTTAATTTTTTAGTTAGGCCTGGGTTTTGCATAATTACCTAGGCCTACTAAAAACGCTTTCTGGGAAAAGCACAAAGAGTAAGGAAAAGCGCGTTTTTTCTTCATCTGATCAAATGAAACAGAATGACAGTTATTTTCAAATTAAGAGAAGAGCTGAGAATAGGCAGCTCTAAAATTCTGGATGCCATAAGACCTGCCAAAATGGCAAAACATCAAATGAATGTAAAAATGAGCTAGTTATTAATATTAGGCATAGTAATCGGCAGGTTCTTGATTACAAGGCTAGACCAAGTTAATTGCATGTAATGCCGAAATGATAATAATAATAATAATAATAATAATAATTATTATTATTATTATTACCTGTACGTTAAAGGGAACTTAGACAAAGGGGAAATAACACAAAAGATATTCTTCTTGGGCTGGTTATTATTTATAGGCCTAGTAAATAGTATCTGTAGGTTCTTCATTACAAGCCTTAGGCCAAGGTAATTAATGCTGAAATGATTATTATTATTATTATTATTATTATTATTATTATTATTATTATTAATTATTATTATTATTACCTGTACCTTAAGGGGAACTTAGACAATGGAGGAATTAGAGAACAATTAAAAAAACGACGTTAAGGGGAA